CTGTGCTCTTGTCTTTAGGTAAACATTTCAAGCCCAGGCACCTCAGGGCATGTCTGGGTCCCTTTATCATCTGACTTAGATCAAATATGTAAGAGATGAATGTGACAAGCCAGCACTCTTACCCTACTTCTCCCTTTCTTAGTAAGGATGCTATAAGCCCACCAAGTTGTGTGGAAGGGGCATTAGATGCACACCAGTTCTCAAACCTATGCTCTCAGGCCTCTGTTAAGACTCTAAGTCTTGAGAATGATTGAGGATCCCAAAGACCTTTTGTTTATATGAACTCTATCCATCAATATTTGCTGTCTTAGAAATTAAAGCTAAGAAAATTTAGAAATCTTAATTAGTTCACTCAAAATAATGAAAAGAAACCCATTAAACGTTAACATTTTACATAGAAATAACAATATTTCCAAGATAAAAATATTTATTTAGTGAGAAGACTGGCATGCCTATTGTATATTTTCTTTTTTGAGACAGAGCCTCAAGCTGTCGCCCTGGGTAGAGTGTCCTGACATCACAGCTCATAGCTCACAGCAATCTCCAACTCCTGGGCTTCAACGAGTCTCCCGCCTCAGCCTCCCAAGTAGCTGGGACTACAGGCACTCGCCACAATGCCCGGCTATTTTTTGGTTGCTGCCATCATTGTTTGGCGGGGCTTGGGCTGGATTTGAACCTGCCATGTGGCTGGTGCCTTAGCCACTTGTGCCACTTGTGCCACAGGCACTGAGCCCTTAGTATATATTTTCACAAAGCTCTTTAGTTTTGAGCTTGATAGAAGACAGCTGAATTCTCATATTTGTTTGTGTGTTAAAGGCTGTCCTTAAAGGCTGTGGAAGACTACTGTATGCTCATGAGAGAAAGAATAAAAGAGGCAAATAACATCTTTGTATTATTATGAAAATTGTTTTGATGTTATGGACTTTCTGAGGGTGTCTCAGGGACTCGGGGGTTCCTGGACCACAATTTGAGAACTGCTGATGTAGACCAAGCTCTCTTTTTGAAGAGAAAATGTGACCAAAAGGCAAAGTTTCTTGGCCTTGGTCATAAAGCACAGTTAATTGATAGCAGAACTAGGTTTCAATATAATATTTTTCCTCCTAGTTGCAATGTTAAATAATGGCCTGTGCTTATTTATTCAGAGCAGGATTAAGTAATAGTTATGTGCCTGTTGGCTAATGCTGGCCATGTTAATGTTGACTTCAGGTTGGTTTTTGCTTTCTCAGTCTGCACCAACACACAGCTGGGTCGTAGTTCTTGAAGACTGGGTGGTCTATAAGGTTGTTCCTATAGACCAGCAGGGTCATGTGTAGTAAATATTTGGGGGGACATAGTGTCTTCAAGGCAGGATCTGAGATTCCCACATGCAATTGTTCCCTTCTCAGGATCTCTGATGGCTTCTAGCTTGCCTTGTCCCTATCCCCAGGGCAGTTCTGAGTGCTGTAGGGTGACAGTGTTGTGAGTAATGACTCTTACTCTACCCAGCCCCACCACGGAACATCTCCAGCAACATTGAGTGTCCTGCTTGTTATGGATCTGATGGGGCTTCTTGTACTGAGAGGCTCCAGAAATGTCAGGAAGAGGAACGGTGTGTCTCTCTAGTTGCGGATTTTGAGAATGGTATGTCTTGGAGTTCCAATTCCTTTGTGGGGCTTGAGTTGGAAACATGTCAAGCCTTGGGTCATGATTTCTGAGTTAACACAGATGGGCTGGTGGCGGGTGGTGATGCCTCCAAAATAGAGGCCGTCCATATGACCTTGAGCAGGCTGTTACTTCTGCCTTCTCAGTCCAGAGCCATTTCTCTGGGGTTGCACTTCTCTGGAACCCCATCCACCCTGGCTGGTAATCTAGCTGTGCTTGAGTGCATTCTGCCATGCCCAATGTTGACTTCTTGGCTCTACAGGTGTGCCTGGGCACACCTTTCAGTCTCTTTTACACCCACACTTTTCTTTCTGTCATCTAGAGGTGCTGGCTTATAACAGCTTGGAAGAAAGAGCCAAGTGGGCTTTGAAGTCCAACCAGTTGTCCTTTTCTATGAAAGTAATCAGATAGTGAAATAGAAATATCTAACATTTGCCTGGATAATTAAAGAGTAATGCATTTTTTTTTTTTTTTTTTT